CCGCCCTGCCCACCCGCCCTGCCCACCGCGCGGCCGCGGAGCCAGCCCGGCGCACGGTCCTCCGCGGCCAGGGGCGCCCGGAGCTGGCCGCTTCGGGGAGTCCGGGAGGGGATTCCCGGGGGCGGCCGCGCTGCCTTACCCGGCGGGGCGCGGGCGCTCCGCACCTGTGCGGCCTCTCCGGCGCTCGGCGCGGGCAGGGGGCTCCGTGCGCCCTCGGCAGCGGCGCCCTCGGCAGCGGCGCCCTCGGCAGCGGCGCCCTCGGCAGCGGCGCCCTCGGCAGCGGCGCCCTCGGCAGCGGCGCCCTCGGCAGCGGCGCCCTCGGCAGCGGCGCGGAGCTGTCCCGGCGCCCGCTCAGTGCGGCGGAGGGAGCTGCGGGGCAGGGAGGAGCGGGGAGGACCGGGGAGGGCAGGCAGGGAGCGGAGATAGGGCAGGCCCGCCGCCCCTCCCACCCCGCCGGCCCTTCGTCACCGCATGCCCCTCCCCCCTGACCCCTCTCGGGCTGGGCGGACTGAGTCCACAATAACCTCATCTTGCCCTCCACCCCGTCCCACCTCCCGTGTCCTTTCCCCGTCCCGCCCCAGCCTCTCCCCAGCCCGGCACCTTCCCGCGGGTGCCATTCGCCCCCCACGACTTCTCCACCTGTTGCTCCTGCTCTCCCCGCTACCAACACCCTCCCCACCGCCACTCTCCTCTGCGCCTCCCTCCCCAGCTGCCGCTGCTCCGCCCGAGGGGCCAGCTCCCAGGTCCCTCACCAGTCTTTGCTGGGGTGGGGCAGGAAACCCCCTTCTAAGCCCAGATCCTTCCCAGCGGGAGGCCTCCTCGGGACTCCTTGTCCCCCTGCCCTCGGCTCAGATCACTGCTCTTCCAGCTCCAATCACTGCCCCTTCCACGCTCCCACCCCAGCAAATTCCTCCAGAAACGGCAGCTGAGTCTTGGGCGCTGGCTGAACACCAGGACATAAAAGCTTTGGGAAGCAGTTGGGGTGTGGGGAGATGGAGGGCAGCCTGGAGTTAGGGGGACGTTAAGCTGCAGAGCCAGAGATGGTTTGGGGGAAGCTGCAGGGGCAGTGCAGGGTGGGAGTGGGGCTGGAGGTGGAGCCGGGATCAGCCCTGCAGGGTGGGCATCACACACTGCCTAGGCCCCTGGCTGCTCCTCTGGCCTCGGTTCCCATGTGCGGCTGCCTGGCCAGGGGCTGAGCCAGGCCCCACCCGTTTCTCACCGAGGACAGTTCTCGCTGCCCCGCTGCCCCTCACCCCGCTGGCCGGCCGGCCGCCTGCGGAGGGGCGAGGAGCCAGTCTGGCCTGCGGCCGCTCGGGCTGGGCACAGGGGTCCTGGGTCAGGGCACGCTGGGCGGCAGGTCCTGGGCCAGGTGCCCAGGGCTCCCTGGGGCCGAGACAGGCCCCATGGGCCTCGCGTGGGTGTCCCCGTGTCTGGGTGTGTGTCTTCCTGGCTTTGATGGGGAAGATGAAGTCAGAATCTGGGATGAAGCCGGGCGCAGCTTCCTTCCGCTGCCTTGGCCCGAAGCCCCCACAGCTTCCCCAGCTCTCCGGGTGGGGGTCTGAGGCACGACGTGGGGAGGGCCGACACCCCAGGTTTCAGCACTGGTGTCCCATGGTCATATCCGTTTTGGGGGTCCCCTGCCTTAGGATTTCATATGCAGGCAGCATGGCCACCACACGCAGAGCTGGCCTGGGAGGAGGGAGGGAGCGGTGGCTGAAGTTCAGGCCAGGGCTCTGCACACCTCAGCCGAGTAGGCCGACTGAGACCTGAGACCGGAGACCTGAGACCGGAGACCTCTCCAGGTTGGGACAGTCGTCTGAGGCTCGCTCGATGCCCAGGGTTGAAGCCCACGGGAGCCTTGTGACAGCCCGTGCCAGGCTGCTGGCATCTCATCAGAGAAGCACCAGGCCTCGCCAGAGCAGGTGCCTGACAGTGCTTGTCAGCGGGACTGTGAAGAGACCCGAGGAGAGGGGTGTGGTGGGAACCCGGCTGCCTTCACCCCAGAGCCTTCACCCCAGAGCCGGCGGCAGGCGGGAGGGGTGCTGTGGGAGCTGCCTGCACCTCGGCTGCGCTCTGAACCCTCCCTGTCTCCAGCTCCGGGCCCCCACCCTCGAATGAACCTCCCAGTCCTTGTCCTGGCCTCGAGGACAAGCGATAAGACAGAAAGGGAGGCCAGGGAAGGAGAAAGGCTGGGAGGCCAGGAAGAGCCGGGGCAATTAAGGGCAAGGACCTGAAGGGGAAGAGGGAGCAGGGCTGTGGTCCAAGCAGGTCCCGGGAGGGAGAGGCGCTTGGACCGAACTTCCCAGCACAAAGCGCTTTCCCACAGCGGCCGCTGTGAACGGAGGCTGGGGCCGGCAGCGACCTGGCCAAGGGTCTGCCCGGTGGGAGTGAGGTGGCCTCAGTGCAGGCTCTCTGGTCCCAAACGTGCCCTCCCTCCCCAGAGAGGAGCCCTGGGAAGATGAAGACAGGCAGACACAGGGTAGGCCCAGGACTGTCTGAGGAGGAGGAGGAGGATCTGAGTTTCTGAACCTTCGTTCTGCATCAGTGTGTCCTAACTCAGAAGAAATTGCCAAGCTAAGACGGGGTCAACATTTCACCAGTGAGAGTGGGGCTAGGAGGTGGAGAGGAAGGGGAACATGGAGAGAGGAGATGAAGAGCGAGTCTGAGATGAAGATGGAGAGGACAAGGGGGGGAAGGCCCACAGGAAGAGAGTTTGGACCCTCAGACTTCCTTTGCCTGGAGACATGGGTGTGGGGAGAGGGAGGAGGGAGGACATTTCTATCTCATGACAAAAGAAAGTCACACAGTTGTTTTGTTCTCTGCTCTGGGGCGGGTGGGCGCCTGTATTTACCAGAGGGACTAAGGTCGCTGTGGCAACCACACATCTGGGCCCCGGAATCCAGATGTGCTGTATCCAGGGCCATAGCAGAACGATGAGGCAAACATTAGGCTCTCCAGTCCTGGCCCCACAGCTGGGGAGAACACAGCGGCTGGAGAGGGACGCGAAGGGGAGGGCTAAGCGGGAGAAGCAGAAGGCGCGGAGAGTGACAGGAATGTGGACAGGCAGCGGAAAGGGCGATGGGGACAGGCAGGGTGGCGTGAAAAGGCGGAGGCAGCACAGGTTCAGCAGCAGGAGTGAGAAGAGGAAGAACAAGAAGGAAAGAGTGAAGCAGAGGGGGAGGAAGGGGAAAGCACCAAAGAAGCCAAAAACAGAAAGATGAACAAAGAATAATGGTCCAAAGGTGATGGCTCCTGGCAGGCGGAGGGCAAAGAAAGGCAGGCAGGAAAGCTAGAGAGGAGAGACGCTGGGCCTGTGGTGGTAAGAACCAGGCAGGATCTCAAGGAAGGAAAGCAGCTGACCAGAGACAAAGTGGCAGGGGACAGGGCCCCACAGGGTGCGCAGTGACGGGCCAGGGGCCTCGGTGGGGGCTGTGGCTGCAGATCCGCTCGGACCTGAGGGCAGCAGCCCAGACTGCCCGCCTCAGCCCCCACGGCATGCCCTCTCTGCACCCTCCAACCCTTCCTACCACCACCCTCCCGGCCGAGGTGAGCTGAGCCCGTCAGAAGAGGAGTGCAGCAGAGGACAATGCAGACCGACCAGGAGCGGGGAGAAGGGACAGGTGTCTGCTACGGACCAGGCCCGGCACACGGCATCTCTCCCTCACACCGCCCCTGAGGAGTAGGCACAGGCACCCTTAACAGATGAGACCAAGGCTTTGCGTGCCACAGCAAGGGCATCTCCGAGCAAAGCCAGCTCAGGTGGCCCTCGTGCTGGCGCCCGGATGAGGCTGCACGGCTCCAGGGGCCCGGGACAGGAAGTGCTGGCTGAGGAGCAGGGCTGCCCTCGAGGGGGAGAGCCCAGCTCCAGGTTGCCACAGTTACACTGTTTTCTCCCCAAACACAGTAATGGGGGGGCTGCTGGCTGGACACGTGAGGCTCTTCCTCCCCCTTCAGGCCTGGGCTTGTGGCCCAGGCGGCCCCTGTCCAGTCCTCTGGGCGAGGAGCCCAGGCCCCGCCCACACCCTCCTGCTGACCCAGGGCACTCCTGCAGGCGGCAGAGGCGTGGAAGGAGCCTGCCCAGGATCCTCACAAGTTGGGTGAGACTCCCCTCACCCTCTGTCCTGCTCCCCTTCCTCCTAATAGAAAGCAGAGCCTTTTCTGCACCCCACCCGGCCCTTTTCTTTCAACCGGGCCCTCACGTCTCAGCTCCCCTACATCCCCTCCCGCCTCCCGCCCAGCCCTTCTCCCCGGGGCCCTCCTTTCTGGGCACAGCCCTGGGCTCCAGCTCAGTTGTTTGTCCTGGAAAGTGAGGGGAGGGAGGGGAACCTGCCAGAATGTAGGGGACCCAGGGAGGCGCTCACCCCAAAGGGCGTGGGGTCCTGTCCTTCCTGTTTACTCAGACACATTCCGGGATCTGTGTCCTCTGGGCTGTGACACCACAGGGCACCCCCCCCCCAACCCCCACCGCCCACACCCGCAGGGCAAGGGGGTGACATGAGCCCTGTGACCCGCCCGGCCCACCCAGAGCCAGCTGTCGCCCGGAGAAGCCTGGAGAAGCCTTTCCCCCAAATGCTTGTCACGAGCCAGGAAGGCAGCCACGATTCCTTTAACTCCCTCCAAGTTGTTTATTTAATAATAATAATAATAATTAAAAAAAGATGCACACACACACATAAATCTGATCTTCCTCACCGCCCTTCCTTTACACCCAGAAACAAGCTCCTCATGTAAATGGCCTCTGTCCCGCCCTCGAACTAGAGTCCCCCCTCTACCCCCAAAGAGGAATGAAAGAGCCAAGAGCCCACCCACCCCACGCTCACCTCACCCAGCCCCTCAGAGGGAAGCGGGGGCTGCGGGCGTAGGGCAGAGAGGAGCCTATATTCCAGAAAGGGGTGAGAGTGAGCCCCTCACCCAAATAAGTGCTTAACCCCACACCCTGTAACTGTCCCACTTGGCGACTCCTCCCCCGCCCCCAGTCTCAAGTCAGTGAGAGGCAGAGGTCAGGGGTGATTGAGGTAGAGGGGCCGACGGGTGGCCGGGCCGGCCTGGCCGGCGGAGGCTGGCAGGGGGCCCCCTGTGGCGTTGCCCGGGGTGGAAGGCTGTTTTCGGAGCGAGGGGGGCACCGTGGAGGTCTTGATGTGAATCACCCTGGTGTCCATGACCTCACACTCGATCTGCATCATCTCCTCATAGTCCCCAGGGGCGCCCCGCCCCGACAGGGTCTCTGTGAGAAGGGCGTGAGGAAGAGAAGGGGGAGGCAAACAGAGGAGGGTGGGAAGAGCGCAGTGGACAGGGAGGAGAGGGCAGTGGCGAGGCGGGTCCAGCATGAAGAGTCAGTGGGGTGAGGGGGGGAAGCAGGGGGGGGAGCGGGGGGAGGGGGAGAGAAGGCCATTGTGAGTGTGAGGTCACAGAGGGAAGGCACGGAGAGAAAACGGAGGTGAGAGGCCACTCCTTCTGCCCGGCACCTACCCACGCCCCGTCTTCCTCCCTCAGTCTCCTGCGTCTTGTCCTGCTCTGCACCCATCCGCTTCTTCTCACCCGGGACCTAGCACCTCTCCGGATCGCCCCCTCCCCTCTGACCGCCCTCAGCTCCTAATGCTGGCTATCCTGTCAGATGTCCCCCTTCCTCAACCCCAGGACCCTCCCCGTGCCGGGCAGGACTTACCATTGGGGGCCATGGCGGGCATCACCAGGGACATCTTGGGCCGAGAGGTCTTATTGTGGCTGATGGCGGGGAGCAGCAGGTGGTCCTGGGAAGCACAGGGGCAGGCCCAGGGTGGAGGGGCGCACACACGCTGGGAGCCCAGGGGACGGGGAGGGGCCGGAGGGGGCGCTCACCCGCCGGAAGGAGACAACATAAAACGTGTCTTCCCGCCGGTCAATCGCATCCAGGAACTCGGGCTGCGAACGGTCCGGGCGGCGGTACAGCTGCAGCTGGCCCGCGGAATCCCTAGGCGGGGGGCACAGGAAGCGGGAGGACTGAGGGAAGCGGGAGAAGATGAGAGGGAAAGCACAGGAGACCCCCAGCAGATGAGGAGGCGTAAGGCCGCTGTGGCAGTGCAGGCCAGCTCTTGGGGTAGAGCTCTTCAGAAGGAGCCCCACTTCGTAAGGAAGCACATCCCCAGACTCACCTTTCTGGGGGCCCGGGGGGCTGAGTGGGAACTGCCTTAACTGGAGGCAACTTCTTCCGCCGCTGAGACTTCTGGAAGGAGAGGTGTCTGAGGATTTGAAGAGGGTGAAGGGAGCAGGGAGAGAGACGCCCCGGAAGCTGGTACCAGCTCACACCCACCCTGCACTTCCTCAGCTTCCCTCAGACCTCCATGAGGACATGCCCCTCGAACCCGGACACGCAGCCTGCCTACCTGTCTCTCCTGGGCCCTGCGGGGCGCCTTCCGCCGGCCTCTCTGGTGGCGCTGCACCCAGCCGCTCAGCGCGTCAGCCAGCCTGGGGAGCGGAGCAGGAGAGCAGCTCCAGAACACACGCTGCGTGACGGGCAGGGGAGGCGCCCCGCCCTGGGCCCCCCCGCACCTGAGGGACTCGGTCCGGTTGAAGTGCCGGCAATCCGAGGAGAGGAAGAGCTGGTCCAGGTCCGGCAGCAGCAGCTCTCCGGAGCCCCTGGGCAGCGCCGTCAGGTTCCTGGGGCGGCAGGGAGGAGCAGTGGTCGCCGCTGCCCAGCCCGCCACCAAGGAAGGCCCTGAGGGCGGAGCAGTGTGGCTCCCCGCAAAAAGCAAAGGTGAACTTGGGGACGGAGACTCACAGCACCCTGAAAGAGGGCCCTCTCACCTGAAGCTTGGCCGGCCCTCGAGGCTGGGCTGGGGCTCCTGGGGGCCCGGGGAGGGGTCCTGGAGGGACTGCACCCCCCGGACGGGCAGCTGCGCTGAGAACTCCAGCAGGTGCCTCCGGGGCCGAGGCTCCTCTCCGCTCATGCCCATCCGAGGAGAGACGGCGGCCGGAGGGGGCTCGCTGATGCTGTGGGCGGGAAGGAGGCGCTGGGCGGTGGGCTTACTGGGGGGTGAGGGCAAGGGCTGCCACACCCGATGGCGGCCCTCACCATGAGGCGGAAGGAGAGCAGCCCCTATGCCACGGGGCCAGGCACCGAGAGAAGGAGCGGCCTACACTGGAGCCCACCGCCAGCACCCCTGCCCCGCTCTGCCGTCGTCAGATGAATGACGAGCAAGAAGGGGGCGCTGGGCACGTCCTGCACCCGCCTCCACAGCGTCTGCGAGTGGGGTGATGGGGGCGAGGGCGCGGCAGCAGCAAGCAGGTGGCCAAGGGGGAGCTCCACTCGAAGGTTCTGGGGGGCAGGAGGGTCTCACCTGACAGGCCCGAAGTTGAAGGCAATGAAGAGAAGGAAGACCACGACGCACACCACCTTCCTGTTCCCGGACCCTAACTTGAGCTCGCTGTTCTGCGTCACAGAGAGAGGGGGGTGAGTCCTCCCCAGGAGCGGTGTTCCCCCCCAAGGACAGAAGCCTCACCTCAGCCCACAGGGCCTCCAGCCGCCGCCGGAGGGCCGCGTTCTCCCGGCGCAGCTGCTGGTTGTCGGCCAGCACGGCCTGCAGCCGCGCCTCCAGCCCCTGCAGGTACTCCTTCTTCTTCCTCCGCGACTGGCAGGCCGACTCCCGGTTCTTGATCATCCGCTGCTGCCGCTTCAGCAGCTTTGCCTAGGCGCCCGAGGGCCCACAGAAGGTGAGGGGGGGGCCCTGGCCTCGATCCAGGGGCTGCCCTCCTGACCAGAGAGCGGAGGGCTCTCCTCGCTACAGAACACTCCCTGCTCCTGCTCCTGCTCCTCAGAGCGGCGGGAATTAGACTGAGGACGCGTCCTCCACCCGCTCCTCCCCACCCGCTCCTCGTGGAGCTCGGTCCCTCTCCTTGGTGGCTGGCTCTCCTCACAAGTCTCCTTCCTAGGCCCCAAGTTAACCTTGCGAACTGGTCTCCCCAGGAGGAAGAGCCGTAGCAGAATGGCCCTGCCTTTGGCTTACTGAGACACCCCACTTGTCCACATGCAGCCTGATAAGAACTAAGGGCCTAAGACCACGCAGAGCTGGTACTCGGGTGTAAGCAGGAGCTCACGCTGACCCTCAGGATCACCTTCAGGGTCTGCTTCCACTTTCCGCTCCCTCCTCGTTCCCCAGTTCTCTCCGCGACACACCTTCCTCTTCCGCTCCCGTTCGCAGCCCCGCCCCGCTCCCCAGTACTCACGTCCACTTCAGGGGGGCAGGCGTTCCCAGGCAGAGGAGCTGGAACAATGCTCTTCCTCTCAGGCCGCGGAGCAGGGGGCGCCGGCCCCTCGGGCTGGACTCGAATGGCACCTTGGATGAGGACAACTGGGGACACTGGGAAGGTGAGGCGGAGAAAGAGGTCAGAGGCTGAGCCAGGCGGGGCTGCCCACACCTGCGCACCCGGGCTCAGTGGCTGCGGCTCCCTCCGGCCAGTCAGCGGACCAGCACCTGGCGGTGGCTGGGCCAGGGGCTGCAGAAGGACGGTGGTGCTGGGCGGCACGGCGCTGGGCGGCACCGGGACCGTGGTTATCACCACAGGCTTCGGCTGCAGCGGTGGCTTCCGGGCGGGCAGGGCTTTGCCTGGAGGAGGGTGGAAGGAAGGAAGGAAGGAATGTCAGGACGGAAGGCCTTTTCCAGGGACCCCGGTGTCAGGAGCCCCTTACCTGAGGCGGCCTCGGGGGGTGGGCCCATGCTGATCTGGACGGCTCCCGGGGGCGGGCCAGGGGCACCCCGCAGGAGACATCCTTGAGGGGCTGGGGGCTCGGTCTTCACTTCTAGGGCCTCCTTTCCTACGAAAGCCTGGGGGCGTCCAGAAAACGGAGTCGGGCGCGCCAAGGAGAGGAGAAGAAAAGCTCCCTCCGCGGACAGCGGAGAGCGGAGAGGAGGACTTGGCTGCGGGGCTGGAGGGGAGGCGCTGGATGCTCACCTGGTCGGGGGACTCTGTGGAGAGCAAGGAGGCCTCAGGGGTGATGGAGGAAGGAGAGACCGGTTCTGTCTTCGTCTGGACCCCTGTGGGGGCAGGGCAGGAGGAGGCAAACAGCTAGGTATCAGACAAACACCAGGGAAGAGTTAAGATGGGGCCTGGGCACAAGGCCGTTTCTCCTGGTACCACAGACAGCTGCTCTGGCCAGGCCATCGAGGCAGGTGCCCCGGGGCTGCGGGCTGCAGGCGCTCCTCCCAGCACTGCCTCCTCTCTGCGGGCTCCTCCCTCTTCTCACCACACAGTTTTCCTCAAGGCCATCCCTGAACTCCTGCTCTCCCCGTCTCCTCAGACAGGTCCGTCCATGCAGAGGAGGCCCAAGCAGCGAGAAGCAGCATTCCTACGCCCACCCTCCTGTCTGCCTGGTTTCCCTCTCCCCGTGGCCTAATGCCATCACGCACCTCCATGCTGACCACTGCCAAGCCCGACTCCCTACCCATGACGGCTCCCCGGGCCTGACCGACTCCCAAGCTCCTTGCTCGTCACTTCCCTTCTCATGCCCCACCATTTACCAAATTCACTGCTTGTCCTTCCGCACAAGTTCCTCCCTACGTCTGGCAGCCTCCCAGACACATCACTGAGCTGCAGGCACTGCGCCTTCTCGGCTGTTAAATCTGTGAGGCCTGCTCACTGCCCCGTGGGGGAGCTAAAACCCCCAAGGTCGCCAGTCTGCTGCCACCTGCGGTCCACACCACTCACGGGGAGACTCTGACTGCAGTGACGTTACTGTGTAAAAAGTCATCAACACTATGTTTGCTGTTCGAGGCTTTTCGGTCTTTGCTTTGTCCTCTTTGTCACTTTTAATAATGTGCTGGATTCGCTCTTGTTCCTCCAAATCCTCCCTCCGTCCTCGCCTGCCCTGAGTCGCGGAGGAGACATGAGTGGATTCCATTACCGGCTCCCCAGCCCTCTTGCTTCTGGCTGGGAGGCAGCGCCAGGAAACCCTGGAGGAAGGCACTGTGAAGTGAGCAGTCAGCCTGGCCACCCTGGCCTCCTCGTGCCACCTGAGCACACGCCTGCTCTCACGCCCTCCAGGGGACAGCACCAGAGGCCAGGCTTCCTGCTCCACTCCTGCTCAATGCCAGGACTCACCGCCGCCCACCCACCCTCCTGGATTCTTCTGCTTTCTTCTCGGCATCCGAATGCCCTACTGAACTGCGTGCACCTCCTCCTTGGTTCTCCTGCCTCCAGTCCTGCCTCTGCTGTCCGTTCTCTACTCTGCCGCCAGAGCTGCCTTCCTAGTCAGACTGCCCTCCTGTTCATTCCTCACAGGCTCCCGACTGCCCACAGGCTCAGGGCTGAGTCCCTCAGCATGGTTCTGCCTGGCCCCGGACCGCCACAGCGCCTTGCCCTCCGCTCCCTGCTCACTGCACCCTGAACACACCGCGCCAGTCCCCTTGGTCTCCTTCTGGCCAATTTCCACGCGGCCTTCACAACTCAGCCAGGAAAGCTTCCTCTGCAGCCCACCCCGATGCAGCCCCTCCCTCGCAGCCCCCCATGCAGCCCCTCCCTCCGCAGCCCCCCATGCAGCCCCTTCCTCCGCAGCCCCCCATGCAGCCCCTCCCTCCGCAGCCCCCCATGCAGCCCCTCCCTTGCAGCCCCCCATGCAGCCCCTCCCTCCGCAGCCCGCCCCAATGCAGCAGCCACGTGAGGGCCCAGCACTCCCTGAGAGCGTCCCACAGGGACCACGCCGGTGCGGACCGCTACTTGTCCTTCGCCCCACCCCTCTGCAGGGTCCTCCTGTCAGGGTGCTGGTCGTGTCTTTTCATCTTTGCATCCCCACACCCTGTCGTGTCTTTTCATCTTTGCATCCCCACACCCTGTCCAGTGCCAGGTTTGGAGTCGGTGCTCAATAAATGTTTACTGAATAAGCACAGAGGCCACCTAAGCTTGGTAACACGTAAAAACAGCACAAATGTTGAGTTGGGTCTATATTCCGACTTTACTGTATAAGACTTTTTTATAATAAAACGTTACAGTGAAAAAATAATGTAATTATGCCATAAACTGTCCAAATTCTTTAAAATATGCAAAGCAACAGGAAGTTAAATCAGACAGCAGGATACTGGGAACAAGAAAAAGAAAGAAAATCACACTATCTCATCAGTGCTGTCCTTGCTGTTTCCTGAAACTCTCCTGCCGCTCCTGACCTTTTCCCCGATTATCTGTCCCTCCCCCCACCTTCTCCTCTTGTCCTGTCCCCCACCACTCATGCCGTCCTGCCTGGAAAAACCGGCGGGTGAGTGTGTGTGTGTGTGTGTGTGTGTGAGCGTGTGCGTGTGTGTGTGTGTATGTGTGTGTGTGTGTGTGTGTGAGAGAGTGTGTGTTTGTGTGTGTGTCTGTGTGTGTGTATGTGTGAGAGTGTGTGTGTGTGTGTCTGTGTGTCTGTGTGTGTGTGTCGGGGGGGGGGGGGGGGCTGTGATTACCTGAGGGATCATCGGAGGTGGGGCCCACGTTGATCTGGACAGTTTCAATCGGGGATGTTGGATCCTCTCCCAGGAGGCAGAGCGGTGGTGCCAAGGACTCGATCTTCACAACCAGCACCTCCCCTACACCAGGGGCCTGGGTGAGAGTAGAGGTGGGGGGGTGGGGGAAGGGTTTGCAAAAAAAGAAAACAAACGGGGAGGTGTTGAGAGTAAGAGCAGAGCAAAAGCTTTACAGCTTACAAACACCAACGATCTGACATTCGGTCTGAGTGGCACAGCAGCCCCCTAAGCCGCCTCCGGCCGGTTCTCTCCTTATTCCTGCGAGGGTGAGGGCATCTCAGGATTTCAAGCACTGCCTTCGAGTGGGAACTGGGGCAGGAAGCGCCGGGACCTCAGCCCCCACACAGCTGCCACAACCTCTATACATCAAAAGGTTCCCCTTTCACTTCTAGAAACCCCAATGGAGCTGTAGCAAATAAGGATGCCAAAGAAATGACGGGGAGGGAAAGAAGCTTGGCACCCACACTTCCACCCTCAGCCTGGGGAGCGGGGCCTGGCAGGGTCCCCGGCAGAGTCCCAGCGGGAGGGCGTTCCCACCTGGCAGGAGGGCTCTGCGGAAAGACCCGACGATTCGGAGCTGAGGGAGGACAACGAGCAGGGTGAAGACGGCTCGGACTTCACCTGAAGATCTAAGGAAAGGGGTTGGAAAACAACCAGGACGCAGAGCCTGAGAAGAGTCCCAGTAACGTCCACGGACACGTGGGTGAGGGTGGGCTCCCCAGAGGCAAGGCTGGAGGAACGCAGAGGTGTCAGGGGTGAGGGCACGGGGCTTCAGCGTTTCTGGGGAACGAGAAGATGAGGGATCCTGGAAGGATGAAGGAATCACAAGTGGTCTCTTACCTGGAAAGAGGGGCAGGGGGTCCCATGGAGGCTCGGGGGGGCTGACATCCATCCCCACATCCAGCATGCCGCTGCCGAACTGAGTAAGGGAGGGCATTAGGTGGCGGGGCTGCGAGAAGGAACGGCTGGGGCGGGGTCCGCGCTCGGGGGCCGCAGCCACCCGCCAAGGGGGGGACAGGGTGCTGGGAGCAGTACCGGGACATCCTGCTCGGGGCAGCGGAAGAGCTGCGCCTGCTCCTCGGCCACCGGGTCCAGGCCGGCGTACAGCGTGCAGTCTGCAAGAGGCGCGGCGTGGGCGGGCGGGGCGGCGGCGGCCCTCATTGGACCCGCCGGCCAGACCCACCGCCCGCCCACCAGGAAGGCGATGCCGCCGGGCAGCTCCTCCTTCCCGACCCCGGGCGGCCGACGCTCCCGCCGCGAGCAGGTCTCCCCACTCCCGCGCCCCAAAGCACCCCCGCACCCTGCCCGCCCTCCTTCCGAAGGTGGGTACGGCTCTGGCCCGGCCTTCCCCCTGCCTTGGGGCTCGCTTCCTCGCGGCGTGCGCAGGGGCGCCTGCCGCACAGAGGCCTGCCGCAGCCCTCCCCGGCCTCCCGGCCGCCCTCCACGCACCCCAGTCCTCCGGGCCCAGCAAGTTGTCGGTGAAAAACCGCGTCGGGTCCGCAATCTCGCTGAGGAGCATTAGCTCCGCCATCTTTCCCCCGCCCCCCAACCACGAGCCGGCTCCCGAGGCCCGCCTCTCCCCTCAGCAACCAATGAGCGGACTCTTCGACACAGGGGGCCGCCCCGGAAGCGATCCTGGCCAGTAAGACGCCTGGATGCTGAGCGTGGAGGCGGCGGCCCCGCAGGCCGGCCAATGGGAGCTCGGCAGGAGGTGTCGCCCGCGCGCCGGCCCAGCACTTGCGCATGCGCGGACGGGGACCAGCGCGAAAGCACCTGGGAGACGTAGTTCCCAGCGTTTAAAGGCCCGCCAGCTCCCGTAGCCAGTACTAAGCTTAGAATTTAGCTTCTACTCTTCTTCGGAAATGGGTAAGCCCCCTAAAATATAGTACACGTGGCCATGGCTTTTTAGTGGTAAAAAAGGGAGAGGTGCACTGAGACCACTGCTACCTCCCTTAGCAAGGCAAAAACTGGGAATGGGATAGGGGCTGAAACCCTCCCTCAGGGCCCCACGCCCCCAATCTCACAGCACAGACCACGATTCACAGGTTTCTGTCTCTTAAGGGTTCACTTTAATCAGCCAAACATCTTGCGGAGACCCTGCGCCAGTCCTGCATCTTGTTTCTTCCCCTGAAAGATCACCTTTCCCAGCTCCTCCTGGGCTGCCCGGTTTTTGGGGTCTACTGCCAGCACCTTCTTGAGGTCAGCAGTTGCTTTTTCCACGTTTCCAAGGGCAGCCTGGGCAACCCCCCTTCGGTACAAGGCCTTCAAATGTCCAGGCTCCCGCTCCAGCGCCCGGTCACAACTCTGGGCTGCCAGATGGGGCTGTCCCAGCAGCAGCTGACAGGCAGCCAGGTTGGCGTGCAGGGCGGTTCGTTCTGGAGAGCCAGGTGGAGGTAAAGTCAGCAGCAGCCGAAGAGCCCGTCCGTAGCATCGGGCAGCCCCTTCTGGGTTCCCAGCTCGGAATAATTCTGTTCCCCGCGCACGTTCTTGCCTAGCCAGGGCCTCCTTCTCGCTGGCCTCCAGCTCCCAGGAGTCCTGGCCCTGCGTGAAGGAAGCCAGTGTGAGCCTGACCGGAGGACCAGAGTGCCCAGGGAGCTGGAGCTCTGCCTCCTCACCTTGACACATGGACTCCAAACACTTCTCTGTGAGTTCCCCCCAGGTTCCCTCCCTCCACGAGCCTAAGCCCATTGTTAGCTCTGTCCAGCCCTCTGGCAGCCCTGACCCCAAAGGAAACCCCAAAGCCAGGACGCGGCAGCGGGAGCCCAGCTTGGGTTTGTCCAAGCCATGGCCGCGGGTTATGATCCTCTTGACAAAGCTCCCATCCGGACAGGCCCAGAGATCGGAAGCGCCGAGGGGCTCTGGCTTCTCACCAGCGGATCCGTGAGACTCCACGGCGTCTTCCAGCACAGCAGCCCGCCTCCCAGCGCCCTGCGGAGTCTCTGGGGTCTGGCTGGCTGCAGCGGGGCTCATTCTCAGCTCAAGGACTTCGGGCTCTTGGGGCTGCTGCCTGGTTTGAGTAGTTGAGTTAAGGCTCTCCTTGGGGCTCCTTCCCCGTTGTTGCTGCGGCTCAAAGGTGTCTTTCTCTCCTGCTAGAGGGATTGGTAGCGTCTCCATTTCTCTGTCTGCTCCCTTACCCCGCGGGTAAGCAGTTTGGGTCGGAAAGGGATGGATCAGGTTCCGGTCAGCACCTGAAAAAAATCAAAACAATGCTAATGGCACATTCTTACTCAGACTCCTTTCATGCCCTTCTGCGACCTGGGCCTCAAAGTGCTTGTCCCTCCAAAAACCCCTGTGGGGCACCGGCCTGGGTTCCACCCAGCGCGAATCCGGAACTATAAAGTCCACAATTCCCTGCGGCCAACCCGCTACGGAAACCCATCGAGTCCAAAAGGCTTTGGGCGGCCGAAGCGACCGGCCGGTGGCGCTGGCCCGATCACTCGGGTCACCTGTGCTTCCCACGCTACGAGCTTCCTGAGCGCCGTCCTCCGGGTCCTGCCGCGGGCGGAGAGCCCGGGCCGAGGGACTCCTACGGCCCACCCTGCAGCCCGCGAGGCGCGAGGCCGGTGACGTCGCGCCCAGAAGGCGGCGACCAGGCTTCTCCCGCCTCCCGATTGGCTGCCAGCAGTCGGGCCCACCCCGCTCCCGGGAAGCTCCAGGCCTTAGCAGCCGAACTAGGCCAGTCGAACCCAATTGGGCCAGGCCGGTGGCCGGCCAGAAGTCCCCCAGGGCCAAGCCCCGCGATGGCAGATTGGGGCGAATGCGGGGAGAAGGGATGGTGCGTGACAGCGGCGGCAGACCAGTCGCCCTTCACTCTGGCGACCTCAAGTGCGCTGTTGATTCCATCCCTTTGTTTGGGGCTGCCAGGCGGAGGCCACCTTCTGCTCCTTGGCCCGTTCTGTCCAGGGTCCTCCAAGAGAAAGCCTCAGGCCCCTTTCTCCGTGTCCGGCCCTACTCCCTTGAGGTTTCCCCTTACCTTTCCCCTCATAGTCATCTTGGCCTTCAAGCTCTTCTTCCTCAAGAAAGCTTAGTGCTTTTCAAATTTTGATGTTCATATAAAGCACCTGGGAAACTTTAATTTCAGGTTCTGCTTTAGGAAGTCTGGGATGGGGCCTGCCATTCTACATTCCTAACAGTCTGGGTGCTGCTACTGCTGCTGCTGCTGCTTGTCCATGGGCCACACTTTGTTTTTATATATTTTTAAAATATATTTGTTATTGATTCAGAGATAAAGGGAGAGAGATAGAAATATTAATGACAGAGAATCATTGATTAGCTGCCTCATGCATGCCTCATACTGGGGATCAAGCCCGCCACCTGGGCAAGTGCCCTGACTGGGGGGGAGGGGGAATCAGACTGTGACCTTCAGGTTCATAGGTGGACGTTCAACCATTGAGCCATGCTAGCTGAGCCATGGATCACACTTTGAATAGCATGATTCTAGAAGAACCTCACCCCTTTCCCTTCATCCCTTGCTCTGTGCCCTGTTAGGGTGTCCTATATTTTGCACATATAACTAGTATAACCTGCTCCACTGGATGTATCAGTGGAAAACTGGGCCTCTTCCTCCTAATAGAAGATGTAGGTCCCTTTGTGGTTCAACCTTGCTTGTCCAGCAGCCTGCACAGGTTGGGCCACCAGAGGTCTTAAGGAAGGGCAATTGCACCATACCTCACCTTGGCTCGTTTACTTGCTTTTTAACTCCCTAACATTGTGCTGCTTCTACAAGAACCATGCCAGGACAGCCGGGAGAGAAAACGTTCATCATTATCCACAGGTGTGTGTCCAACAGCCCACTTCCTGTTTTGCGTTGAAACTCACTAACCTAGACTTTTTTTTTCCTCCAAATTTTATTCCCGGGTTCTGTGCCAGAGTGACCTTATTACACTGCCACCTCCTTCCCTCTATGGCAACATACTCTTGATTCTTGGAATCCCTGGGCTCTTGTTGAAAATTAATCTATTTTTTCTTCCTTCCTCTTCCTCTTTCCATTTCAGAGACTTCTGAGAAAGGCAGGAAGTCTGGAATGAATCACAAAATGTTTTATTAGACCATAATCCCTGTACAAAGGTTGCTAATTTGTAGTATGTGTGCCTTAATTGAGAGGGCCACTCCAATGACCCTTCAAAGATCAGCTTCTTTCAATAAAAAGAAGCTATACTCTACTGAAAATGTGTTACTTTGTAATGTTCTCTTATTGGTATATGTGTGTATATATTTATCAAGCTTTGTTCCAGGCAGCATGCTAAAAACTGGGGATAGATACATGGGTGAATGAGCCAGACACAGTCCTAATCTCAGGGATGTTAAGTCTGGCCAAGGAGAATAAGCAATGACATTGCTATGAAGAAGCATGAGGTGCTATGAGAGTAAATGAGGGATGAGGGAATATTCCTTGAGGGTGAGACATTTCTGCTGGCATCTAAGGAATTAGTTATTTTTCTAAATCCTGAACAGGGAGAATAAAAATGACAGTTGAGTAAAAGGAGCTTCACAGACACACTTACAGAACCAAAATAAATTATAACTAAAATACAAAAAGCATCCTGAATATTCAAATGATGGATAGCTGGAGAACATCCTGATAACCAAGGATGGAAGTGGAGACAACATAGAGACTGGTGGGAAGGGTGGAGCCACAAAAGGGCTGGATGGGGCCCCACAGACATAACTGAAGTTCTGGAGAGATATCTTAGCTGTGGGGGGTTTCCACTGAGAACTCTGGACTCTAATCCCCAAGCTGCACCTTCAGGAAAAGAGCACCAGAACTGAGAAAGGTGCCCACGTAATATCTGGCTGTGAAAAGCAGCAGGGTTGCTATCTGCCAGGGACAGGCAGCTGGAAGATTCAGGCACCCACTTAATGGGCCAATGCACAGAATTGCATGTATAGCCACTCACCTTTTGTTCTGGCAGAGAGAGAGCAGAATAGACTGGAGCTGTGTGAGCAGAAGCCAGGGTTGGGAGCTCCGTGGTTAGAGCTCAGAAGGCAGACATCCCAGTTTCCAATGCTGAGTCATTGTAGTATACTGAAATCTGGTATTGTGAATGTAACCATTCCCTCATGCTGCAAGGTCATCTTTCTCAGGCAGACATTGGCTATACAGGTGGTTTTGACAGTTGACTCACCCTATCGGAAAATACCTTGCTCCACACTGTGGAATTTCTGAGGCTCATTAAGAGACTGAGAATAACCATTAGCCTTCTAGCAAAAGCAATTGCCCCACACTGTTGAAAAAACTCTTGCCACATCTGTATACCATTTCCTGAGGGCAATTAAAGATGAAATCCTATCAGTCTGTAGACAGATGTGATCTCTAGAGGCTTTGAGTCTTTGCCAGATCTAATTAGTCAGAAACAGCATTTGACACTGTCCTGCACTAGAGAGTAAGAGGCATAGCAGATCTACCTAATACAGTCATGAACCCAAATGGGCAACCAAAGTGAGGAGACAAAAAAACAACCCCCAAATAAAAGAACAAGAGAATTCTTCAGAAGAAGAGATAAAAGAAATGGAATAAGAAATTTATCTGATATAGAGTTCAGAATAATGATGGTAAAGATCCTCAACAGCATGAGAAAATATATTTATATAAATAAAAGCCTAAGTGACTGAACAATTGAACAACAAGTCAACTGGCCCCTGTGATTCGCTCTGACCACCAGGGTCGGGTACCCTCCTGTCTGGATTGGGCCGAAACTGGCTATTCGGCTTCTCTCTCTCTCTCTCTCTCTCTCTCTCTCTCTCTCTCTCTCTCTCATATATTTTATTGATTTTTCACAGAGAGAAAGAGAGAGGGATAGAGAGTTAGAAACATCAATGAGCCGAGACCGGCTTGGCTCAATGGATAGAGCGTCGGCTTGGGGACTGAAAGGTCCCGGGTTCGATTCCGGTCAAGGGCATGTACCTTGGTTGCGGGCATATGCCCAGTAGGGGGTGTGCAAGAGGCAGCTGATCGATGACTCTCTCTCATCGATGTTTCTAACTCTCTATCTCTCTCCCTTCCTCTCTGTACAAAAATCAATAAAATATATTTAAAAAGAAAAAAGAAAAAAAAAAGAAACATCGATGAGAGAGAATCATCGATCTGCTGCCTCTTGCATGCCCCCTACTGGGGATGTGCCCACAACCAAGGTACATGCTCTTGACCGGAATCGAACCTGAGACCTTTCAGTCCTCAGACCGACGCTCTATCTACTGAGCCAAACCAATTTTGGCTATCTGGCATCTCTTGAAGGGTCCTGGATTGTGAGAGGGTGCAGGCTAGGCCTAAGGACCCTACCAGTGCATGAAGCTGTGCACCAGGCCACTAGTAATAATTATAAAAATGAAAATAAAGAATGACATAGCACAAATAAAGAACACAGAAGATTAGGGGAAGCTGTGTACAAGTCAGTAAATTAGAAGATAGGGTTGGAAAAAATTAATCAGAGAACCAAAAAGAAAAAAATTAAAAAAACAGGAGGAAAGCTCAAGGGAGCTGTGAGACAATATGAAATGTAACAATATTCACACAGTAGCCATGCCAGAAGAGGCAGAAAGGAATCAAGAAATAGAGAACATGTATGAAGAAATAATGGCAGAAAACATCCCTTAACTAGGTGAAGGAAAAAGTCACAAAAGTTCAGGAGGCACAGAGAACCCAAGAAAGAAGAACCCAAACAGGCCCATGCCGAGACACATCATAATTAAAATGCCAAAAATTAAAGACAATGGGAGAATCTTAAAGGCAGCAAGAGAAAACCAAACTGTCACCTACAAGAGCTCCCATAAGGCTAAAATTCATCAGAAATTCTCCAGGGCAGAAGGGAATGGTATGAAGTACTCAGGTAATGGAAACCAAAAATCTGAAACCAAGATATATCGAGCAAGGCTTTCATTCAAAATAGATGCTGAAAAAGCCTCCCAGGCAAAAAAAAAAAAAAAAAAAAAAAAAAAAGGCTAAAGTAGTTTATCACTAACAATCCAGCACTATAAGAAATGTTAAAGGGACTCCTGTAATGAGAAGAAGAAATAGAGAGAGAAACCTAGGCATACAGAATCAAAATAAGTACTTACCAATAATAACCTTCAGCCAGGACCGGTTTGGCTCAATGGATAGAGCATCGGCTTGGGGA